CCCTGAAACTACATGTACAATGTATATAGGAATGTGTGTACATGTATCACCTGTATATATTGAGCAAAACTTTTGATACATTATGATATGATAAAAGATATTTATCTGAAAGTTATGCTAGTATTACAGCTAGTAGCAATAAACATTGTAGAATCGGTTATTATCATCTACAATGGCATGATTTATGTAGTCTATAGAATACAGATGTATGACTGCAGAATCATAGGGACTTTTTAACTATGTTTAATTTTCATTCAATTGTTCTGAACCCATTTCTAAAGAATGATTATATCATAATTTAGGTCAAATTTACATTGGGAGGAAAATTATTTGGCAGTTTGACACAGTATCACTTTGCAAAAGCTTTTATGCATACACATATATTATATTTAGTTAATTTATGAAGAAAAATTTGCTAATTTTTTACTTATGTTAAGTAATTGTGCAAAAAATTAATAATTTTATTCTGGAAGAATCTACAGGTATATGTATATTAAAACAAACTTGAAATATAGTTTTAAATGATGGAGATCAAGAAATGTTAAATACAAAAGCTGGCCTGTCAATTGCAGATTCATAGAGATTTATAAGCTTATGCTTTCTAAGTATAAACAAAACATCAAATTATAACTGACATCATGCTATAAAGCTACTGGAGATCAAGGGAGACAACAGAGACCATATATAAGTCACCACTCACTAAATCATCTAACTCAGTTGGGTTACTGGCAGAAGGGAGATTACTCCTGTCATGTTCGAGGGAGTGAAGTCGATTAAGCATCTAAGTGTAAAATAATAAAGCAACTGTGTACATTGAGCTGGAATATCTTATAATTATATTCGTTCATTTTCACATAACAGGTAGGGCATATTAAACAAATTGGGGAAGAAGAATTTTAAAGCAATATGAGATGCAAATTTGACATGGGAAAATTTTGTTGCAAATTTGTAATCAACTATTTCAATGATAGAAAAAAGAACATTTATATATTTCTAATGTACATATTTGCGATGTAAGAACTTTTTATAAGCTTTTATTGAAGCAAAATTACATTATTGTCGTCCTGTACAATAATGATTTCTTATTTAGTGCTATACATTCGACTGTACAGAAATATTTCTTATGAAACAATTTCAAATATTATTTTGGTTTTATTTATCATAAGAGTTTAAAATACACACAAATCAATCATAATAACACATTTTTACAGCAAAATAAATTTCTAAAAAAATTTTAAAATGCAGCTCATATTGCTTTAAAAAATATATAGAAAACTTTTAATACATGTACCAAATAGAATTAAGGCAGAGACACATATAAAGGTAATTCATAGTATAAGTGTATTAACAGGTTTATACAAATTGTTGTTAATACATGGTAAACTAAAAGATTAATACATAAACCATCAAAAGTGACAAGAAGACAAAATGTTTTTCAAATGGATGAAAAAATTATTGCAAAAACATAATATGGGTGGATAAGAAATATTTAAGCTAACAACCTTAAAAAGAAAATAATTTTAAATTTGCATGAAAAAGAGGGTATATGTATATAAATCCAAGCTAGACTTACATTTCTCCTGGCCTTTGCCCTGGCGACCTGAATTCTTTGGTGGATATCTATGTAAACATCTGTCTCGTCAATTATCTCCTCCTGAATTAATTCTTCGATCACGTCTTCCAAGGTTATTATTCCAATGATCTGAAGAAAACAGAAATACATGGATGATGCATATTTATCAAAATATGATTACCGGTATATTTAAGTGTTTAATCATTCATATTCTTGATAGTATGTTACTATGATTGGCTTTATCAAACTCTCGCTAATGATTAAATCATTATTAAAACATGGAGTAATCTATCATAGTATAATGCAGTTGTGTGAACATAATACTTTAACATAATCAAGAAATGAAGACAATGCATTTAAGGGGTGGGGGGCTCAATTTTGTAAATGCTGAATAGGAAAAAAAATTCAAACAGTCATCATCCTAAATATTTGGTCATTAATTATCCACACCTCATTTGTCTCTGGCAGAAATTCCACTTCATAACCTTCAACTGTCTCTGTTATTTCTGTGTGTTTTCTCACAAATGCTAAGTGACCTGTAAAGAATTAAAAATAAAAAAAAAATCAAGTAAAAAGTGAAAGCAAAGATTTTTTTTTCATATTAAAAGGGTGCCTCTATAGTATAACATCTAGTATTCCACTTAACTGAGATTACAAATATCTAGCGCACAAATTGTAATCTTACTAAATGTAAAAAAAAAAAAATCAAGTTTTGACCAAATTTGATTACTCTACAGATATTTCTTGCATCGAATAAAAACTGGTTTACATTATAGACTCTGATATTTTGATATCAAACAGTTACACTGTTAAGCCTCTTACTTTTTCCTGTTTGGAACATATTTAATAGATCATAGAGTGGCAAGTCATCATTGACATGCATCAGGTTTGTCGTGCATTCATTCTTCAGTAGGTCTCGGACTGGGGTCTTATCCTCTGGGTTTAACATGATGTAGTTTTTTACCAGCAGGAGACCTACCACATTACTTGCATCATGTTCATACACAGGAACTCTTGAGTGAGCCTGATGGAGAATCTGAAACAAAATACCACCGTATGTCTTGAATATGCTTTAAGTATGCTGGAATTAATTTATGTGGAAATTTTTTAGCTGCATAGAAATAACAACAAGTGGGAAAAGTACTTTTATGGTGATACCAGGAAGCTAATCTAAAATGGAATAATTTCCATGTACCTAATATGGTTAGATAATTATGACAAACCTTGCACATAGTAGCTTTGTCCATCACTGCATCTGCATCAACCATAAACACATCACAAAGCGGCAACATGGCATCCTTCACAGTTTTATTCTTCATGTCAAGGGCACCCTAAAATGAATCAAAGTTTCAATCTTTCTGTGAAGGGAACCTTATAACAGAATCAAAGGCTTTACGTTAATGTCAAATGCTACTACCAAAAAAACTCATGAGCTAAAGATTTCTCTTTATGTCATGGTACCAAAAAAAAAATCTGAAAAATCTTGGTCTTCTCTCATTGTTTGGAGTCACTTACAAAACAGCAATTTAAGGATCACTTTCTTAGAATCCTCTATGGTAAACATCTTCAGAAACCAAATGATAATTTCAGTGTAAATTGTATCCTTTTTAAGGTTTTCTATACCTTAATTATTAGAACTTCGTCAATGGACAGAGGTTCATCATCATCCTCATCCTGTGTGTGGTGTACATTGGCTTCAGAGTTAGGACCATGCAGATCTACCAGAACTTTGAGCTGGGCTCGACGGAAGAAAGTCCCGTGGTCCTCACCCAGAACACAGTCTAAGAGCTTGGACAGTGGCCAGGCTATTATAAATAGGAGGGCCATCAGCAGGTAAACAATGCTGCAGAAAGAAAAAAGAATGTTATTGTGTTATACGAACAGTTGATTAATTTTTCTTGCATGTATACATAATTTATTGTGCATTTAAAATGTATCTATGCCACTTTAACATATCTTCAAAGAACAATACATGTACCGGTGCATGTACTCACTGAGCCTAACAGGGTGATGTAAATGTAATTCTTTGCAATTCATTAAATCAAGTTGAGCTTACTTTAATAAAGTCATTGTCTAAAGCTTGCAATTTTTTCTGTTTACTTACGGGGCTAATGTCGCTCCAATGGCCAGTCCAAATCTGGTACATATTGCTTGTGGAACAACCCTACAATTCATTAGTTAAAAGGTCTATGCAATTTCTGAATGTTGATTTCTCTAGCAATAACTTTTACGAACAATCTTGTACCGTACATTATAAAGTCCATCCAAAAAAAAAATAAACTCATATCTACATGTACATTATTCAAAAAAAAAAAAGTTACATAAAATATATACTTGATACAACTTTACTCAAATTATTATTGAGCAAATATATATGTTCTAAAACTGCCCAAAGTCTTTAAATCTTTTAGGCTATCAAAACACAATGTAACACATTCGAAAGGTAAAGTATCAGTTCTACCGAATTCATTGAACTTACTCTCCAAATATAAGTACAGCAGTGACAGAAACAAGAATGGCTATCACGGGACTAGAGATTCTGTCTAAGAAGATTGGCATGGCCTCCACCGCGGCGGCGTTAGCCAGCAGTAATGTGACAAGGAGAAGGTGGTGTCTCTTTACGATGGGGAGGATCTTCTTGGCCTGTCTCTGTTGTTTTGGGGTTCCCCCATCCTTCATTATTTTAAGGGTCATCAGATCCAGAGAGAGAAGACCCATAGTTAACCCTGACATCAGACCTGTGTAAATAAAATTTCATTATCAAGTAACATCAAGGATATTTTACCCCTTACCAATTGAAAAATCCTTTTTAAATAAAAAATGTGTCCTTTTATGCAATCGGAAAATCGGGATATTATTATAGTTACAACGCAATACAAAAAAATTTAATATTTTACTCATAATAAGTTTATGAAATGATAAATTAAATTCATGCACATGCAACGAGAAAAATAACATTGAAAAATAAGCACTTCAAGCTGTTCTTCAAAATATAAATGCATAAAGCCATTTCATTATAATAGTGTTCTCAGGTGTAGGATTACTTAATCTCACCCGGAAAAGTGAAAGTAAGAGCAGAGTAAATTCGAGAACGTTCGATATTATACCTGCAAGCAGCACAAGACCCACGTAAATGCCCAGGTAAATCCAGAACCATTCATCGGTGTATGTGAGTGGTTCTTCTTCTTCCACGAATATCGTGCCATTGCAATTAATTTTGTTATGAAGCAATTGACACGTTATGTTAGTCATGACATCGGTACAGGGTGGTGGTCCGTGCTCTGTTTACATCAACTCATACGAAATCTTCCTTCCTTTGAGGAGAGTTTTTCCATGTGAGTTGTCTTTCTTTCATTATCAGTTGGCGCAAAATTTGGACCTTTTCCCCGATTTTAAAACTAGTAAATAGTGTTATGTTACTTCCTTTTCAGTTTAAAATTAACACATTGAGCATTTCACATATTTCTAACTGCTCCTATGCTTAAAAAAGTCCATTGGAAGCAAAATTTATTTTTAAAGGGAGGGGGAGGCATCACCAACAAGAGGAAACTACTAAACAAAATAGATAAAACTAGTGGTACTAGTTGTTAGCAATGAGCTCACTAAATGATACGATTGAAAACCCCGCCTCCCTGTGTATATAATGACAAAGTCCATATTTTTGCTCTTGGAAACCCGAAATAAGTGTCAGATCAAACAGTAAAATAGAATGACATTGACATTGTGTATTAAAAAAAATTATTCAGTGGTACAAAAGGAGTTGCAGATATAAGCTTAAGAGATGGGCACCTTCAATATCTTAGAAAGAATGGCCGTATCCTTGTTTAGCTCAAGGAAATCCAAAATATGTGTCCGATCCCAAAAAAATAGGATGTGCACAATGTCACCACGTAACAACTAAAGATTCTATGAAAGTCTTATTCATTTCATTCAGTGGTATAAGAGGAGTTGCGGATAAGAGATTGGTACCCCAAAGAGTAACGGACGGACGGACCATGCAAAGGTCTGTACGTCCGTTACGCTTCGAACGGGGTACCCATTTCTTATCCTCAACTCCTCTTGTGGAGACTTTCACAGAATCTTGTTACATAGCGCCATTGTTCACCTCCAATTCGGACACAAATTTTTAGTTTGCCATGACAAAACATGGACATTGCCATTCTTTCTGTAATATTAGGGGTATCCATATCTCATGCAACTCCTCAGTCTTATGCCACTTCAAATAAGATTTAATGATACTTTCACAGATTCCTTTTAACATAGTGCTTTTGTACACCTTTTATTTTACTTTTTGATCTCACTTTTATTTTGGATATTTCAGAGCAAGACATGCTCTTTGTCATTATAATCATATGGGTGGTGGAGGGGGTATCTTTTAGTGAGCTCAGTGCTCACACTACCTCTATTTTTTTTATTATAATAGCACTAATTTGACTTGCAGCACAATGATCACTTGCAAGGTTATTTAGGATACACAAGTTCATCGTCATTTTAGTTCCTTCTGTAATCCTTCTGTAATCCAGAGTGTTTTCCTGTTCAACACTTGTACACGTGTTTATGATTGTATATTCCTGTTTAGTATGTTATGTACAGCTTAATGATCGAGTAGATATAAATTTAGGTGCCTCTCCACATTTGTGTCATCAATCCTTTTTTTATACCCCAGCTTGAAAAACGGGAGGGTATATAGTAATCGGGATGCCCGTCCGTCCGTCTGTTACGCTTTGGGGTACCCATCTCTTATCCGCAACTCCTCTTATACCACTGAATGAAATTGATGAGACTTTCAGAGAATCTTTATTACATAATGCCATTGTGCACCACCTATTTTACATTTTGATCCGACACATATTTTGGGTTTCCCGTAGCAAAACATGGACATTGTCATTATATTCTTACCTATGGTATGACGTGAGATGTGGTGGCTTCTGATAACATGGGACACCACGAGTTATTCCTCATTACACATTACCGTAAAACAATACAGAGAGGGCAAGAGATCTTCCAAAAGATCTATATACACGTAACAAAGCTTGAGCTAGTACTTTTTGATCTGACACACACATTTTGGGTTTTCCATAGCAAAACGTGGAAACTGCAATTATATTCATAATAGAATCGGGGGGGGGGGGGTATCATTTAGTAAGCTCATTGCTCTTATAGAACCTATTCCCCATTTTCAAAAGTGAGTTATCTCCCCTCAAAATCGGAACTCTTCAACACTAGCATAACTTCCGCGGACTACATGTTACGATAATCCAACAAAATAGTGATCAACTTACACGCTGAATTTAAAAATTTTAAAAGAAGGAAATGGTTTGCATTTTTTTTAGATAATAAATTATTTTATAAAGGGTCTGTTAGCCCCCCCCTTTCTAGAAAGCTATACGAATTAGCCAGGCACCTATAGCATCGTCTTTAAAAGGGGGGGGGGGGGTAGCCAAAGAAATTTTTTTTTCTTACCTGGAAAAGTTGGCAAGCAAAGAAAAACCTTGCCCAAAGTTGAAAAAGCTAATACTTATTTCAGTACCAGTTCCTTGGCATACAATACTACATTTCCCTTATATAACTTTACCGTAGTATAAACTGAGTGTGTGGGGTGGGGGGGCTGGGGTTGACAACCTGTCTATCAATGAACATTTTCAATAGAAAAAGTAATATTGGGAAAAAAGTGGGGGTTGGGCTAAACCCCTTGACCCTGCACTCCTCCCCCCCTCCGTGCGTACAGGTACAGAGAATATGTAAATGGGTTGAACAGCTGAAAATGAACCAAAGTTGTGAAAATTAATATTATTATTAGAATTTTTAATTGTGAATTCAATAAAATTACGGTACATATATTTTTTCACAGATGTACATGTATGTCAGTTACACGGAGTCTCTCTCTCTCTCTCTCTCTCTCTCTCTCTCTCTCTCTCTCTCTCTCTCTCTCTCTCTCTCTCTCTCTCTCTGATATTGTTTATTTACACACTTTGCAAAAAAAGAATAACTTATAAAAATAAATACATGTACTTACACTGAAAGGATTTTAAAAAAATAAAATAACACTTGAGAAAAGATTGTTTTCAGTTAATTAACGAGAAATACGCTAGGAAATTATTGTATCAATTTCGTGTTTCTGCTCTCAATTCTCTGATCTAAAACAAAATGTGTATTTTACTCGGGAATATACATGTACATATGCTTAGATCCTACACTAAAACTTTGATTAAATGCAGCTCAGACTTTATACGACATATGTAACACGAATTCAGGTCGATGCTATTTTAATTAGTCTTTCTTCGTTACATGAGCACATGAGATTAAATTATTCATTTAGAATTCCATTCAAAGTTTTAATACTAGATAGTGAATCAAATATTTTACAAATAGAAAATTCTAGAAACACGGTTAATTCAAATGAAATAGGCCTTTAATTGTCACCAAATGTGTTCTTGTAAGTAAAAGTTCTATGTTATGACATACAATCGAGCAAAAACGCAGTTTCTTGGTATCGGTAGCGGAAGACGAACTACTGCTGTATATGCAGCAATTTCAGAGGTAAAACTGTAGATGGACATGTCATCAGTCTTCAAAAAATTCCTAGAGATACAATAAAAATATGGCTGCAGCAGGCTAGATTAATTCGTAAAAACTTTATAACTAAAAATTTGTTCCGCACATTTTGTAAATAATGATGATCCGTCTGCAGAACATCCACTACCGAAAATTAGCTTTTTTGTTTGTGTGTTTTTTTTAATAGGCCTATTCGAATATGTATCAGCATTTTAATAGTAATTTGTTTCTTTTTTTTTTGTAAGGGGGGGGGGGGGGGGGGGGGGGAGTCACACAGCACCTTATTATAGTACTACACAGATTAATACAAATCCAGAAAGAGACTATGAGTGGGCAATTTAAAAAAAATACGAATCAGTTAAGATTTCTTTTTATTCACAAACACAATAACATTTTTCCATATGACAGAGGCATACACCATGAACATGTTTACATCAAGAATGTCCGCGGAAGTGACTATTTATAGCGCATGCGTATTAAACACAGTAAAAGAGTTCCCTTCAGGGGAAATAACTCACCTTTTGAAAATGGGGAATAGTTTTTTCTATTAAATATATTTTATACGTGATATGACCTCATCGAATTGCGATATTACCCCTTCATATTGATTGCTGATAAACTGGTTCAAATGAGTGGTATTATCACCTATTCGCATTTTTACATTAAACTAGAGGAACTGTGAGCACTGAGCTCATGCATTAAATGATACACCCGTCTCCCTAATGATTATGATGGCAACGGACATGGACACCGTCATTTTTCTATACTAATGAGGGGAACTCCTCATATACCACTGAATAAAATTTAATGATTCTTTTAAGGATTTTGGTTACATTATGTCATTTTTCACCTCCTATTTTAACTTTTGATTTGACACCCATAGCAAAGATGGACTTTGCCATTATAATCATACAGGATGCAGCTTGGGATATCATTTTGTGAGCTCAGTGTTCAAAGTACTTCTAGTTTACTACTTCGTTCTGTAAACAGTGGAAGGGAATGGAACAAAAAGATCCTTAAGAAATGAAAAACTGCATGTTGCGATCGATTGTAGCAGAGTCTAAAAGCTAAACAGGTCAATGGCTAATACCTCTAAATTCAAAATGAAGACATAAAGTTTTTTTTAACTTTTTTGGGGGCTTTTGTGATGTCCTTGTTGTCTAGTTATTGTAAACTTCAAAATCCAACAAAAATTCAACAAAAAGCAGCTTCCCATTGTTGAAATATATAAGAGAATTTATTCATTCCTTTATCATATTCAAAAGACTTCTAAATCTGTATCAATTCCTATTCAAGCCTCATTCCAATATCTGTCCTCTTAGTGTTTTGTCAAACAAATAAATATTGAATTTATTATCATTTATTAGTTTTTAATTCAGTTTAAAAATTTTCATTCTCACAACGTACGCCAATATGCTCCTGAGTCCACTTGTGTCTTTGAACCGGATGTTTAAATTATGTGGTAAAATTCTTTAAAACATTAATCAGCTCTCAAAAAAATCAAGTATTTATTGACCGAATGGTTTTATTTTAAAAACTCAGTTAAACAGTAAGTAAAGCACATCAAAACGACGTTTGTCGTCTATCTGCCAAATAAATCGACGAAATATAGATTCCAGAACGACTTTTTTCCCAATCAAAATAACAACAGCGGGGAACTCTCTTAATAACAAGATGGCTGCAATAATTTGCCATTCGGTAGTATTTTATTAAAGATGTTTTTAATTCTATCTGATGCAGTAGAT